TTATGCTAAAAAAGAATATGAAAACGAATATATGTATATTCATGTATGACTGAAGAATTGTGCTCTACACCAGAAAATCGACACATCATTGTAAACTGAGTATATCTCAATAAATAAATAAATAAAACTCAGTCTGCAAGAATCTAAAAAAGCATATCCAAGGAATAGTCCCAAAACTGCTTGGGAAATTCACAGTATTCATAAAGACTGACATAATTTTCATTTTACTACAATGGGATGCTACACTAATTATTATAACAAATGAAACACACTTATTCAAGACTGTCACTAGGTGTACACCTCTGTAGTCAAATGCCAAACATTAAAATTTTCAAGTATTTTAACTATATGGAAACACAGAATACTCAGAGTCACGAAGATAATGACTGAACTGCTTTAAGATTTAATATGCTTCCTACCAACTGTTATTCAAGAAGTCAACTAATTCACAATTACAAGCACACTATGTTTTACCATGGCAACACTTGCCCCACCAGCTTTCTCACTCATCTTTAAGCCCCACTAGACTACAACCTCAGAGGCGGCAGGACTGTGGGCCTCTTCATTCCTGTGTCTCCTTGTCGGCACACTGTCTGACAAATAGGAGACACTTAAATACTTGCTAGAAAGTCACCTGAAATATTTACCTAAATATCAGCAAAAAGTTCACTACACCTGAAAGGTTAAATACCAAGGATTTCATGAAAAACTAAAACTATTAGTTCTTGCAAAGACTGTATTAGTGCTCTACAAATTTTGATAGACTTTTAAAAAATTCTATATAAAATAAAAAAGATTTTACTTGTATATTATTTTCCTTTGCTGAATCTTATGAAACTGGCTGGAAGAATTTCCAAAAATTGGAGGGCATGTGTGCGCTTAAATACAGGCTATACATGTGCATGAAATTTACTTTGGGAGGCTCCCAAGTAGCTCCTCAGAGAGTGAGGCCGTCAAACCTCACTAAGCGCTAGAACTACGGCACAGTGAAAGGACCAAATGGCCTGTGATCAGGAGAAACAAAGCACACAGACACCGATCATTTCAAAAAGAGCCCCAAAGTGAAAGGTAGCAGGCATTTCCATTTTTAACAATGATTAATGATACTCCCAAACAACAATGAATAAATAGGCCAGCTGTGGTTTGCCTAATTACTCAGAAGACTTTTCCTTATTAATCCTTTTCAGATAACCCAGGTATACCTCCAGTTAAGAATCACCGCTGAAGTCACTTTTAATGGCGGGGAGGGTTTTTATATCCTTCCGATACACTGAAGCAGCAAAAGGTTCAAAACCTACTGATTTGAAAACTTTAAGGTCCCAGATCAAGACAGTGAAGTAGGAAGACCCTGAGCTCACTTTCTCCCATGAACACACCAAGATTACGACCACACACGGAACAACTGTCTCTGAGAACAATCTGAAGGCCAGGAGAACAGGCTTTCTACAATTAGAACATAAAGAAAAGGCTACATCAAGATGGGAAGGAGGGACAGAAACCCAGCCTAGTCAGAGAGAAAACGACAAATACCATACGATTTCAATTATAGTGGAATCTAAAAAAGAAAACGAATGAACCAAACAAAACAGAAACAGACTCACAGATACAGAGAACAAACTGGTGCTCATCAAAGGGGCTGGGTGTGTTAGGGCAAAATAGGTAAAGGGGATTAAGGGGTACTGACTTCAGGTTACAAAACAATTAAGTCACAGGGATGTAACATACAGCATAGGGAATATTGTCAATAATATCGCAGTAACTTTGTACAGTGCCAAGTGGTTACCAGATCTATGGTTATGATCAATCTGTGATATATATAAATGTTGAATCACTATGTTGTATACCTGAAACTAATATACTATTGTATGTCAACTATACTTCAACTCAAAAAATTAAATAAGCAAATAAACACTTTAAGATGCTTTCACAGTCACAATACTGAATAGTCACTTTCATTAAAATTACTACATAAACAGCAAAACATCCCTACCACAGGTGCTGCATTTGGGGCCGGTCGCTGTTCAGGTGCACGCCCTTCCTCTCTGGCTTTTACTGACTGAAGAATTGCAAAAATGTTCTTGGAAAAATTCTGAAACAGAAATAGATTTTAATTAATAAGTTCACTTAAAATAAAACTATTCAGTAAGTTTACTTAATAAGCAATTTCAGACTAAGTTTTTTTCCCATCAATTCTTCCCTGTTGTATCATTAAAAAGTAATTATTACACAGATAAGTAAAAATCGACTACTACTAGGAAATTCATCCAAAGACCAATTATCATAAATTCAGTGTTATTTATTTTACTTAAAGTGCATAACTGGCTATAAATTCATTCATATTCTCTATTTATTTAAATATGTTAGCAGGAAACAGGTTAGCCCTTAAAAAAATAAAATTGTGGCGGATTTGTTGCCAATGGGGCTTATTCTAAAAGAAATTAATTCTTCTGAAAGAAATGAACTACTATATTCTCTCCTAGGTAAAATAAATTCCAGTGCTAATTTCAGACTGCTATAATTTATGAGATGTTCAAAGTTTTGAGATATTGTTTGTTAAGAGTCAATATGCAGTTTTCAAAGTTTTGCAAGTTGGAAAGCATTTTCAAAAATTTAACTTAATGAACTTTTGCGTGAACAATCTTAGCAACACTGAACAAAGCTGACTCATCTGACTACTTCCTTCCTTCATGAAATATTCTTTTTCCATCTGAGGCTCTCCCTCAGTTTCTCTGGGACTCTTCAAATTTTACTTGTCAATCACTTCTCATTTTATGCAATATGTACTACTATAAGCCAAACACCTTGCTTGGCACTCTGATACAAAGATGACCAAGAGAAACTTGGTCCCTGCTCTCATGAACCTCCAATGCAACATGACTTCTCTTCTCTGGATGACTGAGAGCCCTGTTCCCTTGGCTTGGACCACCTGTCCCACCTCACTACTTTTTACTCTTCAGGTATCATCCCCTTTGCTCTTGACCAAGTGAGCCACCCGCCCTAGCAGCAGCATCCCCATAACGTCCTGTGCCACAATTACTGCTTATTTAGTTTTCTGTCTTCTGTTAAAGAACACCACCTCTATTAAAGCCAGGATCAACACCTCTCTAGTCAGGGCCTACCACTTGCCTGGCTTGAAGATGTTAAATAAATATTACACAGATAAGCACATACACAAAAGGGCAGACAGCCTGAAACACAGCTTTCACCACTGCCCCAATTAGAGCCTCAGCAGTTCCCATAATTCTTTATGCACAGCAAATAAATGTCTCACAACCACTTCCCACTCTCTTGAAAATTATGGCACCCCCCAAAGACTTTTAGTTTACATAGATTACAGTATTTATCACATGAGAAATTTAAACTGAGATATTTTAAAAATACCAATTCCTTCAAAAAGGAAAAAAAACTTACTCCATGAAAAAAATAATTTTTACAAAAAACTATCTTCCAAAATGCACCAGAAGGAAAAGACAAGAAAGAGTGGCACTATGGAAAATTTAGGAAACTATTACAGTCACAGTAGAGAAAAGAAATCTCCCAAATTCTAAATTTCTCATGAAAGCTCTCATTTTATTATTGGCAACAAATATTGTCAGCTATTTTCTTGAAGTTATAGGCTTTTTCCCTCTCATTTTCTAAAAAATGTCTGCCAAATACACAAGTCTGAATAACACAGCTATTCAAATTTTTGAAAAATGGTTTTCTGTATAAAAGCAGCTCGGTCAGCATGCAACTTAAACAATGTCCAAGTGCTGTTGGTGGAGACAACCGTCACATTCTGGTGTGTAGAAGTGCTCTGTATGGCCTGATTTCATCATAGAAGATACCAGAAAGATGTTTACAAAAAGGTCAAGTTTTAATAAATTTTAAAATTTCACCAAGGACATCATTAGTGGGTGAGAAATAAAATGGTTATTTGCAAAGTTTGGTGCCAATGCTCTGATTCATGCCAAGATGCCAGCAGGTAAGCAGCCACTGCTTTTGCACCAGCAGTGCAACATCAACAAAGTGACAAATACAAATAAAGTCTTAATTCTATCATGAAAATTGTTAAAATTATGAAAATCAAATTTTACTACTTTAAAAATGATAAAGTACTACAATGAGAGAAACAAACTCTAGAAGAATCAATCAAAATGTTACTAGCTGTTTTTGTGTGGCGTAATTACAAGCGACTATTATTCTTCTTTTAATGATCTCTTATCAGTTTTTCAACAGTGAATATACACTAGCTTATGTAAGTTTAAAAGTGTGTTTTTAATGACACTATAATATGAGGTTGCCTTACATGGGGTGCTTGCAATGGTAATATAACTATATGAGTATATATTTTTATTTCTTACGGAATCCTGAACCTATCTCGTGATCCAGAAAATAAGAAAGCCCTGAAACCTGGGAATAATGAAGATCTGTCTAAAATCACAATGCCTTTTAGGGCTATGAGTATCTAAAAGGTTTTTTAGAGTTTGGAAGGTGAAAACAGTATACAGAAAGACTATCAAAATAGTCAAAATAGTTGTTTTTGATTTTTTTAAATGTTAACACTCATAGAAGCAAACCTAGCTATCAAATAGTTCTTCAAGTATTCACTTATTTTTTAAATTAGACATTGGTGCCAGCAACACTTAAGTTAAATTAGAACACTAAAGTTCTGAAACAGTGGTACAATCCTGCCACCTAGAGTCCAAAGAAAATTGTTCATTTCAAAAATTACAATGAACACTGGCAGAACAACGTTAAGTAACATATGCATCTATTAAGCATATTAGACAGTAAAAATAAGTATCTACAGACCACTTTATTTTAAATACAAAAATGAAAATCTACTTATGTTCTCTGATTTCTCTATAGTTCTAAGCTTTGGAGAAGGATTCTGACTCTTGACCTCAAGTACTTTGTAAAACAAGTCCAAGCACAAAAGAAAAAAAGTTCTTTCCTTCAAAAACTCTTTACTAGTACTTTTATTCTTACTAATATGGCACAATAAACTTAAGGCCAGAATCCAAAAAAATCTGCAAACAAAACCAGTCTGCGTGCACCGATGTTTCGTTCACTTTCGTCAGTAATCTCACAACTTCTATAAACCTTCTCATCAAATCGACTGAGAACTATTACACATCAGTGAAGCATTAGCATTTAAGGGAAGACTGGGAGGCAGGGAAGGAAAAGACAAACAAAAGCAAGTAAGTGAGACAGAATCAAGGGAACAATTTTGGAGATCTACTAAGATGCTGAATCTCCAGTATCTTTCAAAAATTAAAGCACACTACCTCCTTTAATCAGCAATTCACTTCTAGGAATTAATCTTTTTGCTATATACACATAAATGTACAAAGGTCTATGTACAAGGATATTTTCTAATTCAACTGTCTGTAATCATGAATAGGAAGGGCAGGGAGGAGGAGGAGGGAGAGGAGAAAGGGCAGGAAGAAAGTACACAATCGCACAGGAAAAAAACCGAATACCTCCATTAATAAGGAATAAACAACATTGCTACAGCCACACAACAGAATATAATGTAAAATACACTCTATAAACGTGTGCTGACTGATTTTCATAATTTCTCTACTTTGTGAGGAAAAAATTAATAATGGTATTAATGACCAGAGACTTGCTGTCATTCCCTGTTCACTAGGTTTAAGCAAAAATCTCATCAAGAAGAAAACTGGGCGTCTCTTTGGATTTACGAGAGAGGTGGAAATCAAGAGACTCGCACTTGGATTCAGACTTTTTCATCAGCTTCCTTGGTGACCCTCACCCAACCAAGTGCTCAGATGGAATGGTGAGTATGGCCGCCTAGAAATCTACAGTACTACCGACCTTTCAGACATACACTGAACCCTCCTCCAACTAGGAAGTTCCAATCACAGAGCAAACGCACATGCTCACTCTAATGAACAAGTAAAACATCTGAATTACCTTTCCCGTGCTCTGTAAGATAGTTGTTCGCGTCCTCCACACTCTCTCTCTGCTGACAATGTCCCGGGTCACGTCTACTTCAGCGTCCACAAAACTCCTCTGTTTTAGGGCAGTGATGTCATCATCTAAGTCAGTCTTGATGGTAGATCTTTTCTTAGCCATAATTTTGGCTTTGATTGCGGCAATTTTTTCCACTGACATAGCTTCAGACAAAGACCTGAAAGCAACTTCTTTTTTAATACTCACAGCAAGGATCTCTTAAGCACATCATAAAATAAATGGTTACATTTATAAGTTCCTGGTAATAACCCTTTAAGTCACAGATTTCCTTCTTATATATAAAACTGACATACTTGGTATTTTCTAATTATGTAAGACAGAGTCCATGTAGAAATATTACACTATAAGAAAACTAGTAATTTTTCTTAGAAAGAGCATTGCAAAAAAATTTTCACTTTTTTTTCATCTCTTCCTCTCCCAAAAGAATTCATTAGTATGGCCTTTTATATGAGATATTACATGCTAACCCCCCCATCCATGCAAATTATACAAACACACACATGTGAGCACGTGCATGCACCACCTTGGAAGAGAAGTAAAAAAATTTTATTCTGTAAAGAATTCAAAGTTTTTTTCCTTGAAATCTATTTCAAGGCTTCAAACCTATATGCCTTAGTGTACGACATATTAATTTTACAGGTGACAGAGGCTCTTAAATGCCACAGAAACATATACTCCTTTTAAAGTCTGGAAGATAAAAGGATATTTTCGTTTTATTTTTCTTCCTTTACTTCATTTTCAAATAACAAACAGAGCTTATGTCTTCAGAATTATTTGGAAAAAAAAAAGACTTAGCAATGAAAGTATAGATTTAAGATAATAATCTTAAGCTTAGTGTCATTTTTCACAGTATAAAATAAGAAAAAGAGTTTGGATACCTTAACAGCAGTTGATAAGATTATTACTCTAATCACAAGATGGCAATCTTGAAATATGTTTAAACAACATGTGGAAAAAGGACAGGAATTCCTGCAGGTTTAAATACGGTAGTATTATATAGTATGCTTTATTTACATTAGGTATGAAGGAACTTTACAGCAGAGCTCAATGTGCATTAGCATCTGACTTATTTTAACATTATTAAACACTCATTAACACTAGGCATCTTCCCCTTAAAACCTAAAGCATACCAGCAAACCTTGACCCAAATTCAAATGCTTTTCTAAATTATAATCACATATGCACTGGACATTCCATCACTGGACTTGTACTTCCAGCCAAGATGAAGTAACAAGAACCGGATTAACCCTCCTGCCTTGAAACAACCAGTCAAATATACAAAACAACAGTTTACTCAATACTCGGTCAAGTAGTGAAAGACAGTGATCTCTGACAAATCAAACTAAATGGGGGAAGCCCTATGAATGCCACAGTTTATGGCCTTGAAAGCTTCCAACATGGCATAGGGAACAAACCCAGGCAAAATTTAGTGAATTTTCTGATTTGAGAAAATGGAGCTGGGATTTCAGCAAGATCAAGGTGTTGGGAACTCACAGGCCAGAGTGCCTGAGAGGAGAGAGCTACACAGAGGTCCCTGTCAAGCCTTCCAGCAGTGGGGGGAGGTATAGGTCAGTGGTCGAGCACATGCATAGCATGCACAAGGTCCTGGGGATTGAACCCAGGACCTCCACTGAAAACAAGAGAAAGAAAAAAACATGCTGAAGTTCCAGCAATTAAAAAAAAAATACATATGAGGCCCAAGTATTCCAGCAGAAGAATACTGATTAGCACATAAGCACACGAAAGTTAAAACTAGGAACAGAACCATCCAAGAGCATTAGCGAAAGTATCGCCCAGTCTCACACCAGGTAAGGAATAGTACCTGCTCCCACCAACCAGACTGAAAACCTCACACTCTTGGGCATTAGGTAGAGTACTCAGCATGGTCTCGCCCCAGCATCAGTGGGGAGTAACCACGCTAACTGAACACTGTTCAAATAACAAATCTTAAAATCAAGACTCAAAAAGAACAATCTGTTTCCGAGTGATTTAATTAAGTCCCAAAACAAAACTAAAGAAAATTTAGAAAAACACAAAAGCATCTAGCACTCAACGATGTAAAATGCAAAATATCTGATACCCAAAGATGATAAGGCATAAATTAAAAGGAAAATATGAGCCAGAATGAGGAGAAACCTAAATTAAAAACTGTTTGCCAGTCCGCAGATGCAGCACTAGCAGACAAAGACATTAAAATAATTAATATAACTGTTCCACATGTTCAACAAGTAGAGAAATGGATCATACATTTAACCAAATTGTAGAGATGAAAAAATGTTGGAGACTAAAAATGTAATGTATGAGTAAACTACAGAATTATAGAATTTATCAAAAATGAACAGAAAACAGAAGCCAAAAAAAGAGAAGAAAGAGGAAAAAAAGGATCCGAAAAAGGAAAAGAGCATGAGTGAGCTGCTAGAACAGCTTCAAGCAGAGTGTGAGAAATCAGGCCAGAAAGAAGGAAAAAGAAAAATTATTTGAAGAAGCAATACCAAAAACTTTCTAAATTCAATGAAAGCTATGAACCCAAAAATCCCCTCAAAAAGCTCGTTGTACCCCAAGCACAAGAACAATGAAGAAAACTCCTCCAAGTCATGCAATAATTAAACAGCTCGAAACCAGCAACAGAGAAAATTTTTTAAAGTAGTCAGAGGGAAAAAAAGACACATTTGAAAAAAACAAAAAGGATGACAGCAGATTTCTAACCAGAGAGAATGTAATCAAGAGGGCAGTGGTACAGTATCTTTAAAGTGCTTTAAAACATGCAGTTTAGAATTCTACACCCAGTGAAATTTTTCTAAAAAAAAATAGGGGAAATAAACTTTTTCAGAAATAAAGCTGAAAGAATTAATCACCAGCAGACTTGCACAAATAGAAATGTTGAATTCTTTCAGGAAGAAGGAAAAAAAGGGTACACACAGGTCTACAACAGGAAATGAAGAGGCATGGAAATGGTATATAAAAATTTTTCTTACTATTTAAATCTCTTTAAAAGATAATAGTTCAAACAAGAATACCAACAATGTACACTGGTGTTCATATATAAGACATATGACAACAGTACCACAAAGGCCAAAAAGAAGGACAGAAGAACACTACTGTTAAGGTTCCCACACTACCTGGGAAGTGATTCAACACTGAAGGTGGACTGTGATGCTATAAACCACCCACACTGAAGAAACCCCACAGCAATCACTAAAATAAAATAGTTATAACTAACCAGCCAAAAGAAAAGATGTAAAGGAACTACAGTATATGCTATTTAATCCAAAAGAAGTCCAAAAAAAGTAGAAAGAATAGAAGAGACAAACAGAAAATAGCAGCAAAATAATAAACTAGAATTAAGCATAGCAATAATTATACTAAAAGTAAATGTTTAACACATGGAACTTTACAGAAAAATTTGCTGACCACTGCTATAAACCAACAAGAGACTTCATGATAAATGAGTGACTTGGATTATGGAGTAATTTTTGAAAAAGAAAAGATCAGTATGATAACAGAATCAAGAAGGCTTTCCAGAAAACACAAGCAACACAAAGGCTTCCAACCCCCCCCAACACTAAACACGCTCAGGCATCTTCGTCTGAAATTCGGGCACAGAGGCGCCAGTGAGGAGCGCACGATGTAGACAGCATGTTAATATCCCTCTTTCCATATATACTTAACTTACACTGACACTCAACTGCCTACTCTTACTAAAGAAGTTCTTACCTGATCTGTTCAGTCTGCACAATTCCTTCTTTGTGACCCTCCAAACGAGCAGCCAATCTCTCTTTATCAAGGCGTACACACTCTTCATCCTGAAAATAATCACTCATTAGAATTTTACAAATGCATTTGTAATAAAGGCTTAACACATATTACTCAAGTTCCTTAGAACACTGATTTTAAAGACAACTGCAGCCTCGATTCTCAACCAGATCCCAAGGTTTCTTTCTCCGAGCATAGTGTCTAGCAGGTCTTCAATATATATTTTCTGAACTAAAAACTGTCTGTGTAATACAGCTATCTGTGTTAAATTAATTTTGACTTGACAAATGCTCTGGAAAGAATTGCATTATGCTATTTCTTGCTGATTGTTAAAGTTACCATTAACCTAGCAAATCTGCATGTCTGCTATATTCAATTTGCTCAAGCAATTAAACCATGATTTCAGCTTTTTCCAAATAAGTGGCACCTCTAAATTCACTCATTTTGAATATAGTGGGTCACAGACTCCTTTCATACAAAGAGAGTTGGGGAAAATTTCAATTTTACTGCCACAAGATTGTTACCCAGCATAGTGGAGAGGCTAGGAGCCAGACTACTGGGCTCTAACCCTGGTTATGTGAACCTCAGCGCGTCACCTTTCTCTGAGCCTGTCAGCTCACAGCAGACACAACAGCACTGCTAACTCCAGCAGGTGGTGGTGAGGGTTACGTGACTATCACCGCGCACAGAGCGCTAACCATGAGCATCATTATCACTATGTGAAGAACATCAGGTCTGCGACTCAGAGAATGCTTATTCAAAACTACATTTTCTTAGCACCAAGTCTTGTCCACGGTTCTAACATATGTACTTACCAACCAACCCTGCCCCTTTAACAGGTACCTTTCTTACCTGTCCTTAATTGTGGGTGCTTTGCTGTGTGCGTAGCAGCAAGAGGTACATTTGTTTTTTGTACAAATGTGAAATGAGAAGACTTAGTTTCTAGTAACATCAATACTATTGATGACCACAAACGTTATTTCCACATTGTTAACTGATATGTAGCCAGTTTAGTCATTTGTCAGATTTTAAGTGTGCCTCTAATGCATAATCTTCCGTTTTCAGAGGGTTTTATATGTAACTGATCTGGCGCTTGTTACAAATTTAAACGAATAACACTGTAATTATACGACTTAAACTCCTAGGTTTAACTGTCTTACGCACTACACTAGCTGGCCAACAAATTTTCTTTCCAACGGTAACTACACTTCTTACGTGGCTTAATTTTAACACGAACTATCTTCATTTACCAATACCAACACTTCATTTGGCGGCTATAAAATTCTACCACGAAGCAAGCAAGCTGGTATGTCAGGGCTTTAGGAAGTGCCCGTGGTGAGCACTTGATGTACACAGCTCCTAAGGGAGACGCAAAGGGGAGGGGACAGTTCAGCGGTAGAGCGCACGCTTAGCAGCACGAGGTCCTGGGCTCAATCCCCAGTGCTGCCACGAACCCTAAGCAAGTAAACAAACAAAGCGAACTCCAGACCTCCTTATTCCAGGGCCAGGCAAACACCACCACAAAGCCCACGTCTGGCCCGGTACCTGTTCTGTAAAAGTTTCTTATGAGAGCACAGCCTCACCCGTCCATCTCTGCCTGCGAACACAACAGTGGCAGCAGGGCAGCTGGACCAGGACCACAAGGCCCAAAAAGCCAGAAGTATCTACCGTGTGGCCCTTCACAGGAAAAGTCTTCTGACCACCGATCTGGTCCAACACTCTCACCAATAATGATATAAAGGTAAAGAAAATCGAGTCATTTGTCCACATAGCTTGTACGTAAGAGATGCTAAACTACAGCTCAAGCTATTTACTGATGGACTGTTCATCCTAATATAACTATTTTTCTAGGAGAAAAAGCTCTTAGGACCATTATGAGCAAAAAGTTCTTATTATTACACAATTCCAACCTCCAAAAAAAAATGAATCACCTTTAAAATAAAGTTTCATTACCTCAATTCGTGGTTTTTTTGCTTCTGCCAAAACTTCATCTGCAGCTCGTTTAACTGCAAGAAAAAAAGAAGCAAATAAAGGTACAGTTTGAGGATAGGTTTATGAAAGTTCAAGGTAAACATGCAACAAGACATACCTTGAGTAGATCTCTGAAGACCTATTTCTAGAGGGGCGCTTCTGTCAATACTTGCCGATGTTGCTGGAGATTTAAAAAGATTTCTGTCAGAAGGTAAATATTTGAATACATACATTGTATTTTATTACAAGTGGAATGCTCAAGATTTATTGTACTTCTTACTTTATACATAGTGATTTCCCCTTAAAAAATTTTAAAGCAGGTTTGTAAAAGCATTTGATTATAAAAGATTAATCTGTATTAAAAAGTCTGTAAGAGGACAAACTATTTTTGACAATTTAGCTTATAAATTGAGATAATCTGACTGAAATCAACTT